TTTCCATTTAATGCTACATCAGGTAAGCTAGATGTGACAGCTTTAGTTACTTCACGGATGAAGATATTGCAATAATAACACATGATAAACTTTAAACATGTGTCTCTAAAGATAAAACTATTGACATAACTGTAAAAGGTACAGAGATACAATAATGTGCATTTCAAACAGTAAAATGCTACTTGATGCAACAAAATTTAAAATGTAATCATGTCAGATATTTAATATATCACATATGGAGAACATTTTTCAACTTTTTTGCTGATGATACTTTTCTGTATTTCTACTTAAAGATTTTGAATGTTGAACTTGTAATGGAGTATCTTGACATCAATGCTTTGGTACTTCCACTCAAGAAAAGGGTTGGAATGCGGGGAGGTACCAGGGGGTTACATTGTGCTTTGTTGGGATTGTCATGTCATGTTGCATTTCTTCCTTAGTGTGGTGGATCTGAAGCGCTACAGGAAGGCCACGTCTTACTGCCGCAGTGTGCAGCTGCTGGGCTACACCGTGGGCTCTGTGCTGGGCCAGCTGCTGCTCAGCTTCCAGCTCATGTCCTACGACAACATCCTGGTGCTCACTCTGGTTCTCACCTCCATCGCTCTCCCCGTGGCCTGCCTCCTGCCAATGCCACGGCAGAGCATGTTTTTCCACAGAAATAAAACAGTGACAGAGGGGATAAAGACAAATGGAGATGGGACTGTGGATTCAACAGAACACTCACGGAGAGCAAAGGTCTCCCTGGAGGAACCAGGAGAGGAAATGGTGGAGAAAGAAGCAGGAGAAAGAGTTGATGAAAAGGATAAGGACCTTGAGGTTGGTGCAAGAAGCTGCAGCCAAGTCCTCCTCCAGCTGTGGAGGGACTTCCTCCAGTGCTACTCCTCCAGACAGCTGCTCTACTGGTCAGTGTGGTGGGCGATGGCCACCTGCGGCTACAACCAGACAGCCAACTATGTGCAGGTCATTATCAAAGCAAAAAAACGAAAATGTTCAGCTGTACACCTGCTTGGTTTGCAAAGTGAGCCCTTTAAATTGGGCCCTAGTATGCTCTTTTCAGGTTCATATTGGTATTTTGTGTCTCTACTTAATGATCCGAGTAATGTAAATTGCAGGTTCTGTGGGAGCATGTGCAGCCTTCTCAAAATGGCAGCATCTACAATGGAGGCGTGGAGGCAGTGTCCAACCTGTTAGGTGAGCAACATCCAGTGGGAAGTATGCAGATCCTTTACTTAAATCAAATCACATGTCCATATGTGAAGATCCATAATTGATAATGGTACTTAAGTTAAAGTATGACCAGGAACACGTAGTTGAAGTAGTAAGAGTAAAAGTAGCCCATTGCAGGAAAGCAGAAATATTCATGTTTGATACATAGAACTATGACATTATTGATGAACAAGTGAAGAAAACAATTATCAAAATAGCTTTTTTTTTGCTTAGTATGACATCACTTGATGTCAACTCACTCATTGTCTTGGGTAATTAAATATAATATTGGAGTTTAATCTACATTAAAACAAATATTTCATGCAGTTCATATTTTTGTGTGTAAAAGTCTGAATTTCTAAGCTGTAAAAACAATGTGGTTCAGCAAAAAGTATGTTTTCCTCTCACATAAAAATAAAATAAAAAAGTAAATTACCAGTAATTCTAAGATAAAAAAGCTACACATTTTTAAAATATTCTATTATACCATATTCAAAGTATGTCATTGATTATAAAAAGGGCTTTGGTGCTATATATATATATATCTATATATATCAAATCCATTTTCTCAGTGTCTTTCAAATGGTCATCTCTACTATAAAACCAGATGGGTGTGTTTTGCAGGAGCAGCCACAGCGTACGGTATCGGCTTCACGGAGGTGAGGTGGGATCAGTGGGGGGAGCTGGCTCTCGGGGGTTTCTCTGGACTCGGAGCAGCAGCACTCTTCCTCATGACCTTCATCAGAAACATCTGGGTCTGCTACGCCGGATACATTGTATTCAAGTGCCTGTACATGCTGCTGATAACAATAGCCATGTAAGAGGTGTCTTATCAAAAGAGAGACGTGTTTATTATTGCAGGCAGAACAGGAAATCGTGCATTTAAGTAAACAGTCCTTCTCTTTTAGGTACCAGATTGCAGCCGACCTGACGATGGAGAGGTATGCTCTGGTGTTTGGAGCGAATAACTTTGGAGCGTTGGCTCTGCAGACCATCATCACCTCTGTGGTGGTGGACAGCAGAGGGCTGGGCCTGGGCATCATTCCTCAGGTGAGGAGGCAGATCAGGAAATGTCACTCAGGTCTTCTGCAGATGAAGTGATGGTCTGTTTCTTGTTGCAGTTCACCATATACGCCAGCTACTTCTCACTCATCGCTGTCCTTTTCTCACTTCGGGGACTGTTCACCATTTGGAGAAGCGACAAAGAGCCCACTGCTGCCGTCAGAAATGACCCTCCGGACTGTGACGAACACAAATTCTGAATACATGGGTTTTGACTTTGCAGAGTTAAAAGCTTCAAATTACTGACTGCAACACCATGAATATAAATCTTTTTTTTTATATATCTATATACAAAACAAATGTACACGATTCTCCATACATCAATATAAATGAATGGTTTGGTCATTTCTTCTTATTTAAAATTCATTTTAATATATATATATATACTGTATATATTTACACATTAACTTAAAATTCTCTAATACCCTAATGCAAGTGGTTTTCAGCCCAGCAGCCATTCTCGACAGTATACCAGAAGCTTTGTGACCCTCTGTCAGCAGGAGGGGAAGAAGCAGAGAAATGAGACCCCCGCCCGTCCCTGACGACGCAGATGCTTCTTTATCTCTCGCAAACAGAATAGGTTTTTTTTTAAATTATTATTATGGGATACTACGGTGGCCGACAGGTGCAAACGCGTTACACCGACCCAACACATTTCCATATAGGGGAAGCAAGCTGCAGTTTCCAAAAATGATGTGAACATAAAAACACAAATGTGCAAACACATGCAAATGAAGAAACCTCTCGCCAACTTAAGACATGCAGATTTGCTCTAAGCTAACTAGCTAACGTAGCTAACTTAGTCATTTACAGATATACAGTATATATATATATATATATATATATATATCACTGTCAATATGAATTTTGTATAGTTTAGTATTATTTTATTTTATGTTTGTTTAGCTTCTCCCCTTTTTTTATTTTCACATTATGTCTGCATGATAGGTGTCCTTTAATATGCACTGACAGTAGATGTGATACCATGTGCTGTC